TTTTTTATTCTAATGGATTGATATTTTGAAGTTCCATAGCATTATAGGTAAAGGTTATTTTTAATTTGTACTACCAGACTTTCTATAGTATATTTATAGGGGGTGTTTAGTAAAAGCTTTTTATTTGGGGTCTCTCACTGATATAAGATATTTTATTGCTTTGTGTTTGGTTTGCTAGTATTTGTTTTGAGTGCTAGACTGCTGGAATTTAGATTTCCGGGCTTTTAGATTTTGAATTTTCATGGGTAAGTTTTTCCGTTGAACTCCCTTAATGTAATGTGACTTTTGCGGGAAGAAACGCGTTTTTTAATGCAGGCAGCCGTCTGTAGAATGTTACTACGGAAACTTCAAGAATTTTTTGTTTTCGAGTCATTTTATTGGTTCATTAGTCTTATTACGTGATACTCTCTACCTTAGATAGTGTTTTCACAGTTGTGTTGGGTCTGAATTCTTTAAAGCTGCATTTTTCGCTGGATTTGTGCTTTTGTGATAAGTATACACATAAGGCTTAGATTATTTAACTTCATTGCGTATCTAGTCGTTGTTAAATAGAGAATAATACATGGGCGCGCGTGGATATGGAGTTTCTCTTCGAGTGTTTAACTCGATGGCTCACGAGTGAGCACAGCGAACGAGTGAGATGTCGAGTTGAATAGGAGAAGAGAAATTTCATATCTAAAAGCAACCATGTATTATTTTGTCTATCACATAAACACAATAGCCCTTTACTTACAAGAAAATATCTTTTTTTCACGTGTATTGTTACGGTTTCTCTCGGGGCTGGAAATCCTTGTAAAACACCGTAGTTTATATCATGAATAGACAATATATTTTGGCTGTAATCATCAAATTTGTTTCTTTGCCAGCGAAACGGAGGTCGTCTTGTTTGATTCCCATGGATATTGCTTTCCTGTTGGATTCTTCAGATGCCGCTGGAAAGGCTGGTTTTCAGAGGGAGAAGGAGTTTTTCAAACTTATGTCAAGTGCTCTATCATTGTCTCTCAGTGGTACTCGTGTAGGTGTAATTTCTTACAGTGCACAAGCAAACCTCGCAGTGGCTCTTCAGGAAAATACCACCGCCCAAAATTTGCGATCTGCCATCGATGCGCTTCAATTTGTGGGAGGAACTCCCAGAATTGAGAAGGCACTTGAATCTGTCCTTACTGACTTGTTTACCTTCGATAGGGGGACCAGGTCTGGAATCCCAAAGGTAGCCGTTCTTTTGACGAAGGTATCAGACTCAAACATTTTGCAGTATGAAACTCTCAGGAGGGCAGCCGCACCATTAAAAACAGAAGGTGTGGAATTAATTGCCGTAGGTGTAGGCCGAGACGGCGATCTTCAAGATTTGCGTGTATTAGTTGGCAGCGAGGAATATGTTTTAGGAACAGAGTCCTTTGATAGGCTTTCTGAATTGGTAGAAGACGTTACGCTTCTTGCATGTAAAGCTGCAGGTGAGAGAACTTTATCTTTACATAATACATTAAATTTTACATAGAGTTACAGCAGCGTTCACGTGGCAAGTTTTAATGGGAAATTTCCATATTTGGAAGACGGAAAAAGGCTGGTAACTTGACAGGATACTCGTCAATGAATTTAAATGATTTTGGGATATACATACACCAGTAAGTTTTCCAAGGCAAGTGTATTTCACTCGCTATCTTTACTAATGTTTAAGTTGAAACCCTATTTCGTAATATGCGCTCTTGCAGAAACATTTGCTGGTGTAAATGTTGCTTGTAAAATGTATAAAGAACAAAACTGGGGTGAACAGTTTGCCAAATGTAAACGTTTGCTGTGATCTATTACTGAAAAGACGCATATTAACATGAAAGTTATTACTTTCATATTAAAAAGAAAAAATTAAAGATGAGGTTATCTGAGATCGGTAGATCGTAGGCAAGGACCAATCAAAATGCCTGTATAATTCAGCCAATCAATTAGTAATCTATAAATCACTCACGTCAATTCCTCTTACATGAGTATTTGATTATGTTAAACAGTTATGTTCGCTGTTGCAAAAAAGTGCTCTTTTATTAATCAAATTTTGCGCCTCTACATGTCTTCTAGAACCAAAACGGATCATTTATCCTATGGACGCTGCAATCCTAGTTGACACGTCCGCTGGCATTAGTGCCCTCAACTTCCGGAGGGAGAAAGCTTTTGTTAAGACTCTTATAAGAAGTTTTACCATTTCAAGGAACTTGAGTCGTGTAAGCCTGTTATCTTACGGTAACAAAACAGAAGTCACCGTAAATTTCTTTGACCAGCAAAACAGAGAATTTCTCACACGAAATGTCGATTCTTTGCCCCTCTTGGGTGGGCCGTCGCAAATAAATCAAGCTCTAGAGGTCGCAGCTTCGCAGCTTTTCTCCCCTTCTGGTTCGTCTCGCGCCGCAGTGCCAAGGACTATTGTGGTAGTAACGGATGGTCGACACGATCTTACGGTGGGCTCCGGTGGTCTAAATGAGACAATAGCCCTGTTGAGGCAAAATGGCGTTAAGATTCTAGTGGTGGCTGTTGGCGGTGAAGACGTTGACGAGGATGGATTGGGCAGCCTTGTTGAAGAGGAAGATCATATATTTACCGCTGAATCGTTTGAAACTTTGGCCGCTAAATTGGAGAAAGTCAGCACTGCAGCCTCCGAAATTGCAGGTTAAATTAAATGTCTTAATTTACCCGATATTTCATCCGTTATATTTCTTTTTTGAAACACTAAGTTTTTGCGCCTAAGCGTGTACACTTCTTACCATTGATCCGATGTAGAAATCAACTTACAGAATTCCTTTCAATGTAAAACAGGTAACGGCAAGATACTTTTAGCTATTGTTTGCGACGAGAAACAAAACTACCTTAAACTTGACGGAATGCACAAATTGTTATTTCGGTGAGATAAAGAAAACGTCGGCAAAACAAAGATAAAACCGAGTAGAAAACAATAAATACAGTGAGTGATTTATGAGTTTGAAATATTGCAATCTCAAGATACACAAACCTTCCTCATTTTAGTCATTTCAATGAAGTGAGCAAAACTGAAAAATCATTTATCACTGTACTTGTTACCACAGTTTCTTTTTCACAGTTGTCCGATTGGGCTGCAAAAAGAACAATCAATAACTTGCGGAATTAATCCTTAATAAATAACAATTACCGATATTTCAAGTCCTGTTAATCAGCGACGTACAGAATTACGCTAAGCAAAACTCTAGGATAGGAAGAATAAGCCAGAAAGGTGTAAAGGAAGAAATTGACTCGGATTGCAAATAAAAAATGCAAGCCAAATTTGTTAAGATTTGCACACTTGGACGTTGCTCCTTCGACAAATTGTCCTCAGAACCATGCGACGTAAGAATTCGTTTTCCTTTGCCACAAGTTTGAGAATGCCTTAAGATGGCAAAACGAAAAAAACAGTTAAGAAAACACAATAAAATATTTCTGCTGTTGTCTTTCCCAGCACCTGACCGTTGTGGTAAAGTGACTGACATCGCCTTTATAATGGACGCCTCGGACAGTGTTGACAGCCAGAGTTACCGCATTCAAAAGGACTTTGTCAAAGCAATCGCAAAGAGCTTCGGTTTGCAACCAGGGGCGAGCCGAGCAGGAGTCATTCTTTCCGGCAAGAAACCAACAGTGAACATTAAGTTTGATGACTACTTGCAAACCGAAGACTTCATAGAGGCGGTAGATAGACTTCCTCACCCTCGCGGACATGCTGGAATAGACAAAGTCCTCGATGTGGTTCTAACTCAGCTATTGGTCAACAGAGGTGGTGCAAGACCTGGATTGGGGAAGATACTAGTGCTATTAACAGCAAACACTCAAAATCAATCTCTAGATACAAAGTTGCTGGATAGTGTCACCAGAAGGCTCCAACAGTTGGGAGTGGCTTTGGTTGTTATCGGTGTCGGTAAACAGGTGGATGATACACTGCTTCGTCCTTTGGTTACGAAAGGAGAGAATCTTTTCCTAGAAAGATCGTTTGAAAGTCTGATGCTTAAAGCTCGACAAGTAGCACAAATTACATGTGACAACGCAGGTATTTTTCATTACCACCGCTGAAACTTTCGAAGAGAACCTTAAGTAGTCCGGAGTGGTCCATGTACCCATATTTCAATTTCAAAACCATTCTTCAAAGTCAGAACTGAATATCAAATCACTTAATATTAAAAAGAATACAAAGATTTCTTACGAGCACTAAATGAAAACCAATTATGAGGCAATGTTAAAGAGAATTGTTTATCCAGTTACCTTTTTATCTAGCTAGGAGGATACGCTAACCTCCCCCTCCCCCCCTCACCTTTGTCACTCCGACAGTTTGACTTTACTCGCCTGAGATGTTTATTAGTATTCAATTTTCTGAGGAATTTTAGTTTGCTACAAGTTGCATTGGTAATATAACTCGCCATTTAAAAAGTGTGAACTCACGCGACAGTCTAAAATGCTGTAAGTTCCTTTCCAATTTTCACATGAACAACACATTTTATGCGTTTATTTGAGACTAGTTCGTTCTATTCCTCGCCGCCTTTCACCGCAAATTAAATGATAAATTAAGAAAAATTATGTCTGCAATAGGAAATATTTTTGGAATAGATCTAACAGCGAAAGTGATGGAGGCAAGATTTAATACATACAATATATTAATATGATTTTTTGATAAATATGATTTATTTCCCTTCGTGTAGGATACTCAAGATGCAGAAACCCAGTTGATGTCGCTTTTCTGGTGGACTCTTCGGGTAGTCTTGGCGAGGAAGGTTTCCGCGAGCAAAAGGACTTTATAAAAGTGATTACGAACACCCTCAATGTATCTCCCTCACACAGCAAGGCGGGTGTCATCACTTACAGTGATAGAGCTTCTGTGGCAATAAAATTTTCAGACTATCAATACCACGCGCAGTTGGTCAATGCCCTTGACGCGCTGCCATATCAAGGTAAAACCACACGGATTGACAGGGCCATTGTGAAGGCCTCTAAAGAACTCATGACAGTGGAAGGAGGTAGAAGAAAAGATATACCTGGAGTTATGGTCATAATGACCGACGGGAGGCAGACTCAGGACTTTGACGTCACGCCTTTAGAGCAAGCAGCTGCGGTCTCAGAGGAAATGGGGGTAACAACTTTGGTGCTCGGAATTGGGGAACTGGCCAACGTGAATGAGCTCAGAAAAATGACTGCACGAGATGGCGACGTTTTCTTGGCTTCCTCTTCTCGAGCTTTGAACAGTTTTGCACAACCAGTTGCCACAAGAATATGTAATGCTGCAGGTACCTTAAATTATTGCTTTATACGTTCTGTTCATTTTGGGTACCTTCCCAGATTAACAACTATGATTTTGGTCATAAGTGGTTTCAAATGCCATACTGAGTCCATCAGATGAGCCATATTCAAGGTTATTCCCTTAATTTCATATGTCACTCCCATTTCCAGAGATGCTCCGAGAGTATAGAAAGTCACGCGGACTTTCAATTTCCATAAGGTTATCAATTTCTTCCTGAAAAGAAAGCGTTTTGTAAGTTAACAGAAGATATTATCTTTTTAGCACCAAAGACATGTGATGTTCCACTAGATGTTGCCTTTTTGGTTGAGTCGTCTGAGAACATTTCACCAAGAGACTATAAAAGAATTAAAGATTTCATCAAAGAGGCGGCCACCTACCTGTCAAGAAGCGACAACGAACAGCAAGTTGGTGTCATTGTGTTCAATACCGAGGCCAAGATATCCATAAAGTTTGGACAATATTGGTCCGAATACGATTTTGATCGTGCAATTGATGATCTTCCTCTAAACACAGGACCATCCCAACTTGATACAGCTCTTCGCGTTGCCACCAAATTGTTCACTGCTGAAAATGGAGCCAGACCCGGGGTTCAGAAAGTCGGCATCGTATTAACAAATGGAAAGCATCCTGCTGTAGAAGACCTGGAGGACCTGAAGGATGTGGTAAGACCTCTTCATCAAGCAGGGGTCCATGTCATACCCATTGGAGTGACGTCGTCGGTGGATTGGAAAAAATTGCGCTCCTTAACTGTGGACGACAAGGATGTTATTGTGTCACATTCTTGTGATAGTTTATCCAACAAGATTAACTATCTTTTCAGACGCATTTGCCTCGAAGCTGGTAAGGAAAAAAACTTTGTTTTAGATAGCTTGTACTGGCTATAAATGATGTGCGATCTTCGGCTTACAACAGTTATCTGGGAGGAACTGGATTTATTCACTCTACTTAAATTACATCAAAACTTCGGTGGTCAAACCCTTTTTTTGAAATCGAATATGATCCAGTTGGTTCAAATCGTATTAGTAACCGTGTTCTTGGCCTAATGTTTTTCAAGAGCATCTTTCACCTCTGGGCTTTTTAGTTAAAGGTGCCAAAGACAACTCGGCTTGTAAATAAACAAATTAAGGCTCTGGCTATTCGTTGTTTTCAGTTTATAATGAATTTGCTTTGATTTTGATCTCGAAGCTTACAAAAAATGCGATGGGGTAGCAGATGTGGTATTTGCGATCCACTCCTCGGGGACACTCAGCCCTTCAGAATACCGCAAAGAAAAAGAATTGGTGAAAAGAGTGGCGACAACTCTGAACATTTCACCCGGTAGGAGCCGAGTAGCTTTAATTCTTTATAGCAACTTCGCCACGGCAGCCCTTAGACTTGACGAAAAGATCACCATGGAGTCTTTTGACAATCTTGTGGATAGCTTACCTCATGAACGTGGAGTGACGCGCATCGACAGAGCTTTAAAGCTTGCTCGATCCATTTTCGACTCCGACAGTGCTGTAGTGCGACGAGGAGTGCCTAAGGTATTGATATTGTTCACCGATAGCAAGCAAACCGTTGCTCAAGATGCATTTAATCTGGTGGAAGCTGCCCGACCCCTACTCTATGAGGACGATGTTAGGATTCTTGCAGTGGGAATGGGAAAAAATGTAGACGTCAGGGAGCTACGAGCTACAACAGTTGATGAGAAGGACGTCTTTCTGTCACCGTCGTTGGAGAATCTTCTCAGTTTAAGCGGATCTTTGTCTGAGGCCATGTGCGAGGCAGCCAGTGAGTATACAGTGAAAATAGCATTGTCCTATAAACGTAAGGTCAAGTGTAGTATAGTTGGCTCTGTATGGTAAGAGCTGCGTGACTGTTTATGTTTTCTTTATTAAAAGTTCATTAACCTGACGGAGGCCTTGGAGTTTTTAGCAGTAAAATCTTGACCATGCATCAATGACTGATCAACCGACAGACTGACCAACCCACTGATTGAAAGACCGACTGGTCGACCAAACGACAATTTGTTAATAATCCATTTATTCACTCGTTAATGATAATATTCCAAACATTTAACAAAGAGACCTCCAATCACTCAAAAGTTGTCATGGTGGTCTACAGTGATTAACTAATGCTTAGAAATCTAGCAACTGGCCAACAGCCACTAGGATGAATGTTAATCGTCTAAGAAAGTGAAAAAGGTGAAGAGTAGTGACCAAAGCTGATTGAAAATGAACGTAAAAAAAGATTGAGAATTATTTTCAAATTTCTTTTAAAATCACTCAATTATATTTTCAGAGCCTCCAATTTGCCCTGAAGCCATGGATGTCGCCTTCCTGATGGATGCCTCCGGCAGTGTGGGAGCAGACAACTTTGAGAAGCAGAAAGAGTTCATCAAAGCAGTCGCCGGTACTTTAGGACTTAAAAGTGGCTTAGCCCGCGCTGGGTCTCTGGTCTACAGTGACATGGCAACAGTACAACAGTCATTCAACAGCTGCAACGGGACTCATTCGGTTGTAGAAGCAGTAGATCACATTCCATACTATGGTCGAACCACGCGCATTGATCGCGCCTTGTCACTTGCCAATACAGATCTGTTTAGTGATGCCGGTGGAGTGCGATCGTATGTGGCTAACACTCTTTTACTCTTAACGGACGGCAGGCAAACTCCAGCAGCTGACTCGATTTCCATGGAACGCGCCGTGAAACCCCTTAAAGAAAAGAAAGTGAAAAGGATAGCTTTGGGAATCGGTAGTCAAATTAGTCCCGATGAGCTTCGCAAGGTCGTTGATGGAGACGAAGACGTCGTTACAGTAGACAGTTTTGACGATCTTATCTCTTCAATGCATATGGTATCGGAAAAATTATGCACAAGTGCAGGTGAGAGAGTCACCTTAATACCTCTTCCCTTAGAAAAATAGTGTTGAGACAGATTCCTTTAGTACAGTCTCGCCTTAGGTATTTACATGTGGGTTTGTAGTTAGATTAAACTTCTTTCAAGGTCCTTGAACTGAACAAACTTAGTTTACAATTCGGTTGACAAAACAGAACTTACTTAGTCAAAACGTGTTTTTGTTTCAAAGAGCAGAAGAAAGGAAAAGATTAAAAGGAGAACTTAAAGTGAGAAAAGGGTGAGCCGACTTTGGCGACGGACCCTAATTTATTTCGGTTTTGCGTTTGAACGATTGGCAATGTGGCACCAGTTTTCTCGACAATAAGAGGTTCTATGAATGTGCAAATTTAGGTAATGAAAGAAGCACAAGTGGAATTGTTCTAATATGTAATGAATCAATCTCTTGGCAGCTTTAAAGAAGTGCCCTGTTCCTGTAGATATCGCCTTTCTTCTGGACTCATCAGGAAGTATTGGTGAACCAAACTACCGCAAAATGAAAGACTTTGTCAAGGCTGTTGCGAACACCTTTATCATCGGATCAGGCAAAACACTAGCTGCATTAATTTTGTACGGTGACACCGCAACTACGGCCATCCGATTTAGCGATCACGCGAACAACGCCAACTTCGACGCTGCAGTAGACGTTCTGTCGTATTTGGGAGGTGAAACTCGCATAGATAAAGCCCTACAGCTTGCTTCCACAGAGCTTTTAACAGAACGTAGCGGCGCACGGGTTGGTGTTGCCAAAGTTGTGATCCTCGTGACAGACGGGCGGCGGTCTCGAGCGCCCGACGGCGTTGAACTTCAGAAGGCTGCAAAGCCAATTTTATCGGCGGGTGTGCGTTTCTTTGCAGTGGGAATTGGAACTGAGGTTGATGAAAAAGAGTTACAACTTATCGTTGACAGGAGAGATGACGTCATATTGGTACCGTCGTATAATGGACTCGCCACGAGAGTGAGACAGCTGTCCCTTGCCACGTGTGAAAGCTCAGGTAAAACCAGCATCATTTTTTTACTTAGCTCATATATTTTTTAATCATTTAGTGATATGTAACGACGCGCAATATTTTCTCCTCGGTGAATAGTACTTGCTAATCACTCTTTTCACCTGTGAGGTTAATACTGACTTGGTTTGACTCAAAGTCCCAAGTGTCATCGGTGACTGATTTTTAAATAAGCCCACCTTCGTCAAACTTTTGAAAGTACGAGCACGATCGAGTTTATCAACTAGCGTAAATCAGCAAAGTATTTGTAGGTTCACTCCACAGATTATAGCAAAACTTGCATATTTTTCAATCAACTCGCAAGCGTCAACGAAAAATCAGCAATTAGGTGAATGACGTAACGTTTTTCAGGTGAAGAAGAATACAAATTCCTTCCTGAAGGGAAAAATTTGGGTAAAAGTCCTTTTCACTCTTGGAATGCCAGCTTAGCTGTTTTTAACAAATGGAAGACACTTGAAGGTAACTGTGCAATAAATTTCTTCCTCAGAAATAGAAGCTTGTGATAATATCATGGACGTAGGTTTTGTCCTCGACTCCTCTGGCAGCCTATCTGCATCCGAATTCCAACAAGTCAAAGACTTCGTCGATCTCATAGCTAACTCCTTCCTCAAAAACAAAGTCGGTAGCCGAGTGGGGCTTATGCAATACAGCATCTTGCCGAAGATGAATGTTCGGTTTTCCGACGAACTCACGAGAGAGCAGTTCCGAAGTGTCCTGGACAAAGTTCGTTACGAGGGAGGCTACACTCGGCTCGATCGAGCTCTCAAGCTAGCAGCTCAGGAGTTGTTTGTGAATGAAGAAGGTTCTCGTAAGGACATTCCTCGAGTCATGGTTATAATAACAGACGGCATCAACACGGAAGAGCCTGATTCTGTAGCGTTAGACACCGCCGTCGCGCCTCTAAAACGCGCCGGGGTCACAGTGTTTGTTGTCTGCATTGGTAGTGAGAAGGGCCGTGATGAGATGTACCTACTCACAGAACAAAACAAAAACTTGTACTTTGTTCGAACTTACAATGAACTTTCTCTTCAGCTTCGGAAAGTATCCAAGGACATTTGCGAGAGTGGAGGTGAGATGCTTGCATGGATTCGGAGAAGGGGGAGGGTGTTTCTCTGTTATTTACTATACCCGAGAAAATGTCTGCTTTTAGATTGCTTTCTTCCAATTATACTAAGAATCAAGGATGATCTATTTTCACATGCTATGGCAACGATCTGCACTAATTCGTCTTCTTACGTGTTAGATGTCGTGTTCTTAATCAAACATTGCATGTTAACCAGATAACGAACTTTTGACACTAAATTAATTTCGCAAGTCGCTTCTACTTTTTTGAAGTGAAAATAAATCGGGAAGATGTTTTTCTTGGCACGATAAGCAATTTGACGAATGTTTGAACGATCAATCGATAATCTTTGTATTAGTGACAAAATACAATATGGTTTCACTTTCAAAATTAATGACTTTAAGTGGCTAGAAACTCGCTTTGATTTAGAGTACCTCCTCTTTTAAATTCTCCAAACTGCCATGCTTCGAAAGGGCATCTCATGTTAAACATCAACAGCAGACTGATCCTTTTTTTTTTTTTCCAAACAGCCCTTCCTGGATGCGACCGAGTGATGGATGTCAGTTTCTTGGTAGACTCTTCAGAGAGTGTTGGCTTACAAAATCTTCAGAAACTTCTCGACTTCGTGCGCAGAATTGCCAAAACCATGCGTATCTCCCCGAGAGGTAGCCATGGAAGTCTCGTCGTTTTTAGTGACAACGCCAAAGTTCAAATCAAACTTGACGACCACGATAATATACAGGAATTCAGCAATGCTTTACGAGATGTCCCCTATATGGGCCAAAAGACCCGGATCGACAAGGCTTTGCGGGTTGCACTGAGCGGAGTTTTCAACAGTAGAGCCGGTATGAGAGCCGGAGTACGAAGAGTGGCGGTCTTGTTGACCGAGGGTCATCAAACGAGAACGTTCGATGCGATACCGCTGAGATACGCGGTAGAACCACTGAGGCGCAGGCGAGTCAATGTGTTTGCGGTTGGTATCGGTAATGATGTACGTTATAACGAACTCCGATCTGTCACAAGTAGTGATCAAAATGTAATGTTGGTGGAAACGTTTGACGACCTCGCAAGAATTGGTGAAGAGCTGAGCCACAAGATGTGTCGAGGTAGGAGAATGATTTTCACTTCACTATAAACAGGGAACTGACACTTCATATGAAACGTTATTGCAAAGTCACTTGTTGATTTTGAAAGATTGCAGCACTTGTTGTTATGAAAGATAGCATTTCTCAAGTGATCGCTCCCTTGTCCTCTGCACTTATCCAATTCATGACGACATGGTAAAGCTAAATTGAATTTTAACACTACTGGTTCCCTCATGATTGAGAGAAATGAACGGTCAATAATTTTATATCTGTTGTGTTCTTGGGAGAGATTCTTACCGTAGAGGTAACGGTTTCCTCGCAAAGGTATGGATAAGTAGATTTTATGATGAGCCACAACACCTGTTATTCTTATGAAGCGACAGCACATATCTAGTAAAGCGATACGAGTCAAAATATGATTCAATGATGAATCAAGGGCCACCGCACTCGTAAAGAGTCGAACAATTTCCTAAGTTTCCCCTTTAATTTAATCCTTGTCATTTTATGAGTTACTCCACCCTGAAAACTTGAGACAACCTGATGCTGCTCTAAAGCGCACGTTGGTTGATTGCACGTTGTATAACCAAGGCAGCTAGATCACAGATGAATATCAAAATGAACTAGCGAGAATTCAGGGAAACCAAGCAGACCGATTGGAAAGCAGAACAAGTGACCAAGCTGCGATTTTTGTTTTGGCATTTGATTCGTAAATAGCTGATGCATTTTTTCTAGACCTATTACAAATGTATGATAAAGCGGAACTAAAGTAATCTTGAGCCACTTTCATCTTGCAACTCAAATCGCTCCTAACTCCCACAAATGACCAAACAGAATTTCTCCACACCATATCGATACAGAATCAAGCAGATAAGTGAGAAGAATAAGGAAAAATATCAACAAGGGCGTTATTAGTTGATCCAATACCAAATTCTCAGAACTAATATAATACAAGTTGTATAACAATCGGTAAGGAGACTTGCTAATGAGATCTTGGTAGTAAAAGGGGTTAAAACAAAGTGTGGGCTCTTTATGAGCACTTGGCATTATTTTTATTCTCTTTCTCTTCTTTTTCAGGAGGATGAGGATCGACTTTGGGAAGACAATACAGACAAATAAATTAGTAAAAAAATTTAAGCTAATATGTAGTGTGCAGTGCTTCAAATATTTCTATTTCATACGAGAGGTTAGCAATGCATTTGCGCGGCTAAGAAACAAAGAAAGGAAAGATTACTCAAGAATTCATGTTGTTACAACACTACAATAATCCAAAACAACTGGATCCATCGGTTTGACACGCAAACTATTCTGCGTGTTTCAAACAGCAGCGCCTGTATATTTCAATTTAAAGTAAACTCCTGCCTTGAGTTTTATTTATTTTTGAAAAGTCGTCACTTTTTATAAATGGATCTCCCGTAATATTCAGTGACGGAAATGTGTAACTGTCTTTAGTTTTCACCGATTCCACGATTCGTTGTGATCAACATGAAAGAATGACGACCATTTTGTAAAGTTTTCTGAGTAAAAAGTTATACTCATTGTGGTAAAGAAAATTAACACAATGACCTGCTGAAAGTATTGCAGTTATTAGAGGAGCCCTTTTAAAGGAATGAATCACTGAGTAGCCGAATATATACGTTAATAGATAGTTAATTGTGAACGCTGTAGCAAGATCGTGATTGAAACGAATTTTAAAAACAACGTAAGTTAAATGGCCTCAAAGGCCGATAAGTTAAATTTTTGTTATCTAAAGTAAGAATAACATTGTATTGAATAAATTAATAATTTTAAATGCAAAGTAGTCGTAGATGCGATTATTTTGTTGTGAGGACTCGCTTCGGGTCTTATCTATACTGCCCCTTTAAAAAAAAATCCATCTTCAGTTATGCTTTGCACGAAAAAAGAAGTCTCTCTTCTTTATAACTTCTCCTTATGCGTGGCTCCTGCTCCAAAAGAAATCGTCTTAGCGTCTCAAGAATTACGTGAAAACGTAAAATATAATCTAACTGGAGGCGAAGTAGTCTACGTTTCCCTTCCCTGCCCCTCCCCTCTCCTCCCTTCCCCTTCCCCCCTCCCACACCCCTCGCGTTTTACTCTCCACCGCGTGAAAAGAGGTCGGCATGACCAAAGAGGTCGGCATTAGATTCCATCCATCAAAACCACCTCGGTCGAGAGGGACTGAGAT